AAGCTCCTCCGGATGCTCCCAGGGCAGAAACCAGCCACCCCTCGCCACCCCTGGCTGCTTTCTTCCTTTTTTTGGTGGGCTCCATTAACCACAGGCCAGAGGTCGCCTTGATGCAAACAGGGATGGGAAACATCTGGCACTGTCTCTTGCAGGAAATTATCAGGCAGGAACAGGGATGCTCAGGCCATGAAGCATAGAGACTATATCACATGTGCACCCCACAGACACAGCACAGTTCCTGAGGTGTCGCCAGCAAGTTCAGCTGCCAGGGGACGGGGCTGCTGGCTTTGTAACAGCTGTGCAATCAGCCAAAAATATAGGTGTCCCCACCACATAAACACATCCAGTGCACCAGCCGGATTAACATTCATCAGAGCAACAACGCCAAAAAAACAAACAGTTTCATAAAGAAAAGCTTTTTAAAATAAACTGGGTGAGAAACTCGTAAAAAAAAAAACAGATTCCCAGCACACCAAAAAGATGCGAGAGAAGACTGTTCACTGCAGATAAAGACAACTCACTACACTGTTATCAAGCGATTTCTTTCCATTATAATAAAGCAAACACAAGGCAAATAACTACCTCTGAGAACAGACTCCAGCCTGAATTTCCACCCAGCTCTATTACACTTAATGCAAAGTTGGCGTGACAAACGCAGAGCAGAAGGAGGGTAACAGCATCTCAACCCCCTTTGCACAGACTCTGCCCACAGGCGCAGGACGAGGGAGATGCTGCTCCCCAGGCGCAGTTTTGACCAAGGGCTGCAATTAACAGCTTGATTCTGCGCTGGGCAGCCCTATGCCTTGGCATAAAGCTGATTTAAACTTAGTTTTTCTGATTTTAGGATAAGATATCCTTCTCTCCACAGCACTGCAAAACACCTCTACCTTCCATGAACATTAACCATTAAGGAAAATGAATTTTGACTCCAAAAAAGACAAAATTCCAAAGTAAAACTTTTGAGCTAATACTTAATTTGGATGATTTGCATTTACGTGATAAAATTTGCATTTATATGATATGCAATGCATATTACAACATCCACACCTGACATAACCTGCAGGAAAAACAGACATTAAAAACTGAGGCATTCTGGGAGCAGGTGCTTGTGACCATGAGTCAGGACCTCCCTGCAGCGGGGCAGAACACAAACTTCTGCATTGTGCACACGAGGCTACTTAGCAATGGGGCTAAACATTGCGTGGGTCATCCTCTCTCCATCCCAAGCCAGGAGCTGCACGACTGGGCAATTAACCAGACCCTCGTATGAACAAAGGTAGCGACCACCAGCTCACCCAGGACTCTTTATTTCCTCCTTTTCAAACAGCAGCTCCCTCCCAGAAAGTAAAATGTCTCCAGTCTTAAAAACACAGCTATGCAAAGCTCCACTGAGATTACACCCTTCAGTCCTATTCAAGGCAAAATCCCAGCTGACACTAATAAAATATGGACCTATGTAGCCTTTTGCCACTGCCTTATTCGAGGCATAACGAAGGGCTTTCGTTCTGCTTCACCTCAAGAGGTACAAATATCCCAGACCAGGGTGAGCGGGTTCATAATTACTGTTCATGACATCTGCTTCCCTGCATCCATTAATGACGCCAGCACCCTTCTTGGCTAGTCCAGAGCATAGGCTTGCTCTCACTTGGATATCAGCTTCTCAGCCTCTCAGGGCCTGCATTCCCCACAGCACGGCACCGCGAAGAATGAGGTTTGTCTTCTAAGCTGTGCTTTCCTGTGCTTGCCCCCCATGATCCCTGTCCCCCCCGAGGGTCGGAGTGTGGCAGCAGCACACCCAGGCTCAGCCCCGCAGGGAACTGCCGACCCTGTTCCCCCTGCACGCTGCCACGGTGGCCTCAAAATCAGGATTGTAACTTGGGTTTGAGATTCGGGAGATGCTGGGAATCACCGACCAGTGTTTTAAAGAATGACAGACTGGTGCTCTGCCTCCCCACCACCCGCTGCCTCCCAGTAGCCTTCTCTGACCCCTTCTCTGGTGTTTTACTCCAAAGAGAAACCAAAAGCATGCCATTCAGTGCAATATAAAGTTAAAAGATTACCTGCTTCATCCTCAGCAAAGGAGATGATGTATTGGTAATAGTTATTGATCAGCCCAGGGAACATGCATGTTTGTCCCGTTCCCATGCAGATTTCGCTGTACTGCCATTCTCCGGTAGCACCATCCTCCTTCAGAGACATCAGGCGTCTGCAAGGCAAAAGAACACTTGCACGAAGCAACCAAGAAGACAATTTATGAACATTAATTGAGACACTTGAAAGGATATTTCATGCTTCCCGCTTGCACCAGCTACTATAGGAACTGCAGCTCATCCAAGAAACAAAAGACTGTTAATATTAAACCACATATATTATACACCCCTGCAACCCCTTGTCTTTCAGGGGCAACACAAGCCCAAGAAAAATCATATTAGAGGGTTTAAGGGACGTCAGACTGTTAAGGCGGGACCCTACCAGAGATGCAGAGCACTTGGCTTCACTGCAGCTCTGCAGACCCTCTCCTGCACCCAGGATCTCCAAACACAGCTGGTCACTGTATCAGCCAGAAAGGCCTGGGAGATGCAGATACAGCAAAGGCAGAGGAGGAGGTGAGGGGAAACAAGGCAGTCTCACGCCTGCCTCATCACAGGTTTGCAGCAACTCACTGCCGGACAGTTGTTTGTTTTTTTTTTCCTTTTAATATCTTCAGTATCTGGAAATGTTGCATCAGATGTTTTTTTAGGATGCATTCAAATGCTTTTTTACATCACTTTCAGGACTTTAAACAAACATCACATCATTGCCCCTTTATTTGCACTGGCACGATGTGGACCAGCAACATCAACGGCAATGGAATGCACAGATTGCATTCCTGAAGCACCACGGACGATGCACTACATAAAACATGCCACGTGAGCCCTCTGCAATGAGCAGTCAGGCTTTGCCCAGTGCTTGCAACCAGCAAAGGGCAGCAGCGCTTAGCCCGCATGAGCACTCACAGGCAGGTGTGGTATTGCTGGAGGACTTCGGCTGGGGCTACAGCGAGTATCTGAAGTATTTACTTACCCGCTCATGAAATCACCAAATATGTACAGGCCATTCAAGTTTGGAGACTCGCAGCCCCGATAGACGTAGCCTCCCGTGACGGATTTCCCCATTTTGTGTGGATACGCATAGATTGGAAGCACATCATCTGCAGGGGACAAAAGACCTGTAACTTGCCTTGTTTTACACACGATGCAGAAGAGCTGTTTATCTAGACAGTTCTGAGACTAACACGATACGATCAGGTTCATTCGAGCATCTTCTAACTACGCAAAGTGCCGATGGAGTCATACTTAGTTCGATTTTCACCTTTTCAGACCCGCGTTTGATAGCCCTGCCCAGCTGGCTGTGCCAACCAAGGACAAGCTAGCTCAGAGAGACTGGTCACTGTTTCACTTGCAATACAAACTGAACCCCTGATAAGCCTGAGTGCTCTCCATCATCCAGACACCTCACTGCTCTCCTGAGCCCTTCTCCTCCTGCTACAAACCAGCTGTTAGTGCTGCTTCTGGCCCATTTCTATGCAGCCCGGCTGGTTTTGCTAAGTATTTGCAGGTTACTCTTAGAGCCTCTGCACCCAACGCAGCTTTGTTTGGGTGGTGAAAGGGAAAAAAGAAACGGGTAACTCCAGGCTGCAGACACTGACGAAAAGGTATGTCAGATGTCAGTGCAAATAGCTTCTGTTTCTCTGAGACAAGGGAGCTTAATCTGAAAGGGTCATCAAATATTTATAGTATGGCACAGGCGAGACGTAGCACTGGCATACTCATTGTAAAATATAAGTCAAAAGACAAGACAGAGGCAAAATAGAAGGAAATTCCCTGATCTTTAGGGTCTCCATTGGATGTTTCTTCCCCTTTCTTTTGCAGCGTTTAGGTTACAGGTATCTCCTTGTGGTACCCACCCCTCCTCTTCCTCACAGCCTTTCTCCCTGCCCATGTAACAGATGTTTCAAGTAGCAAAGCCAGCAGCTCTGCCAGCAAGGAACTTGCACCAAGGGCATTTAATCTAAATCAGGTGTTTTCTATACTTCAGCTGCACTTACCATTTTAAAGGGGCTGTGACATTTCACTCTTCTAACAAAAGGGTCTCTAAAGGCATCAGAAATTGTTCCAAATCTCTGGAGACCTCAGCAAAGAGCTTGTCATGAATGCTCACGCAGGCACTGTCACACAGGAGAGCACTAAATGGGCTTTCTGACAACCGCTTCAGCAAAAAGAGTGCAAAAAATCTGCTCCTGCTCTTGAAATTTTTGTAAAAAACACTTAATCACTGCCACTGAACTTGTAGCTAAGTTAATAAAAGGAAGGAAGTTAAACCAAATTAATAAAAGGAAGGAAGTTAAACAACACCACATAGTACATAGAAGAGAAAAAAAAACAGAATCTCAGCTAGTGCAAATCAGTACCAGCCCACTGCCCTCCTGGATCTCTGGTGAGATGCTCCAGCACAAGATGTGGTCCATATCAGACCCTGCAACACAATACACTCTGACTTCACACATGCACTGGAATTTAGCCAGCCAGCAAATACCCTGAATCCAGGTTTGAAAAGTGAAAAAAAAAAAAAAAAATTAAGGTTTTCCTTTTTTGCATCGCTAAAAGAAATAAAAACACACTGTACATTCAATTACCTGCAAAGCATGCAGTCTGCATACTGATTGTCCAGCTTACACAGTATATTTCTTTCTTTTTTTAAAATAAGGACACTACTTGTGAGTTATGGAGAAAAATACAATTGCTCCAAATTTTTCTCACTTCTGCAGGAAAGCTTATTTTATGTGGAAAAGATGAAATTGTTCCCCCAAATCACAGAATCACCAAGCAATTTGACTAACAACACAGACTGCCTAGCAAAACAACAGCTAGCAAGTTTCATTTTCCTCCTAACTCAAAAATGGTAGCATTTGGACTTTCAGTATTTATCTCCAAGTCGGTTGCCTTCAAGACTGAGACTGCATAGATTTACCTCTCGGAAATGCGTATTTTCCATCAAGCAGCCAGGCTTTAAAGGCAAGAATTAAAAATGACAGTGCAGAAAACTGCAGTGGGAGGCGCAGGTAATTTCGAGAGCGCATCTATTTACCCATTGAAGAATTGGCGCAAAGTTTTTTATCGTAACAGCTGAACCCTTCCCTCGCCCTCCAGCCGTAATTTTTCCCTTTCTCAATGATGTCGATTTCTTCGTATTTATTCTGCCCCACGTCTCCGCAGAAGAGCCGCCCTTTCCCTTCCTTGGTGTGAGGTTCGCCCCTATCAAAAGAGCAGCGCCACATATTTCTCACTCCGTACGCGTAGACTTCGGGGCGAGCCTTAGGGTCGTTAAGAAACGGGTTGTCGGGAGGGATTCGGTACAGTGGCCCACGGTCGTTGTTGTTCACATCGATCCGCAGCACTTTGCCCAGAAGGGTTGATCTGTATTGGAAGAAGAAAAGACAGGGAAAAAAAATAATAAAGAAATAAAACTAGACCTCGGTTAAACATCACAGATGGGTTTTTGGAAAGTCTAGGGTTTCATTCTTTCTAGTTTGGAAAAGACAAATCTTTCAATATCTCTGAAAAAAAACTAACCATTTCAAGACCATTTTGTTTGTCCCAGGCCACCAAACAGCCTTCAGGTGGCACTGACTTCCCACGGCCTGCTGCCCCACAGATTGCACACTGCTGGCTTGGAGCTGCCGTAGGGATCATAGAATCATAGAATGGCATAGGCTGGAAGGGACCTTAGAGATCGTCTAATCCAACCTCTCTGTCATGGGCAGGGACGCCTCTCAACTAGATCAGGCTACTCAAGGCTCCGTCCAGCCTGGCCTTGAACACCTCCAGAGAGGGGGCATCCACAACTTCTCTGGGCAATTTATTCCAAAGTCTCACCACCCTCGTACTGAATAATTTCTTCCTAAGATCCAATCTAAATCTGTTCTGCTTCAACTTAAACCCATTTCCCCTTGTCCTATGGGTCTGCTCTTCCTGTATCACTCCCATATCACAGACACCCCCCCTTACTTACAGAGAACTGGTCTCTGAGCAGAGAGCTGTTGCTGCTCACAGGGAAAAAAGACACACCTCGATAACCTGCTCTAAGGAAACGGGAGTTGCATGGGAGGTCTATATGTCCACGTGTGTGCACAAGCATCACTGCAGGCGTTAGGGAAAAACCTGAGACAGAAAATCCTCCCCGATTTACCTCCCCCAGTTTCTCTTCTCAAGCCAAGGGTGACAGCAGGGACACACGGTGTACACAAGGTTTTAGGGGCTCTCACTTGTTCTGGGCGTTTCCAAAGGTCCCAAAAGGGTCCCCAGCCATGCCTCCATCTCCAGTAAATATATAGAGATAACCATCATCTCCGAAGAGCAGCTCTCCTCCGTTATGATTGGAAGCAGGTTCTTCTATTTCCAGGATTATCCTAAGCAAAAACAGGGAGGAGGCATCACCTACTGCACAAGCCTGAAGCAAAGGGCAGACCAACGTCACTCCAATATTGCCCTTGACACATGGAAACGGCAACAGATAGTTTCGATGCAAAATCTTCCATATCCACGTTAGTGAATTCTACTTGAGCACAGCTGATTTTCTAACCTTAAATAATTCCAACATAGTTTCCAGATTACAGAAACACCAAATTGTGTAGTAACGAAAATCTGAGAAACCATATAACAGAATATACTTTTAATTAATTGTACTCTTCCTCTGATTCTTCCTTCCACCTTGTCAAACTTATTTTCTTTCGATTTTGTTTTTAAGAAAAGGTACCCCAGCTTAAATCTGATTGTAAACTGCAAAAGAAAGGACTCCAGTCCACGTGTGCATCTGTACAACATTCGGCACAATCCTGACAGACACTTGCAAGGTGAGCTTGAAACTTTACAAACATTAAGGAATAGTTAAGTTCTTCAAGAGAGAAGAATCCTTAAATGACAATTACATAGAGAGGACTTCATGAACTTAAAGATGGGTTAAAAGCAGCCACGTCAATAGATTAATATTTTGACAAAGATTATTCAAAGCAGTACCAACCTTTACCTTCATTTTAAAATCTCTCTCTTACTTTTATCTGTTTATTTTATGCACCTAGCATCCCTTTCTTAGTAAGAAAAGGGTGAAATACATAAAAGTATAACTTCATAGAAAGATAAAGCCACAAATACACACAGTGGAGGTTCCTAGGCATAATAACTGAAGTTTATTTTACTCCAGCTTCTAAAAAAGTCCAGATTTCATACTGACAATGCCTCTCAATAGCTGCAAAAACAAATTATAATAATAACTGAAATAAAAACTCATTTTTATTAAGTTTTTTTTCCTTCTCAAAGTACTGATAGTTTGTGATTAGACTGTAAATTGTGAGAAGGCGGCCAACAATGTCATTATTCTGTTATCTGCTGCTAAATGTCACCACCTCTGAGATAAGGTAACTGTGCATGACCGCAGAGACTCCAGTAGCAGCAGGAGCGAGGGAGGATCCGGTACAGACCCGAAGGTGAATCCTCCTCAACCTCCCAAAGAAGATGGAAGAAAACAAAACGCACTGAGCAAAAATCTGCTGCAAACAGACACAGACCTTCCTGTGAAGGCAATGCACATCCCGTGTCAGCCGAAGTGCCCTCTCGGGCAGCATCTCAGGATGAAGGCAGTGGGAGCTGTGCCTACGCACAACAGGACCACAATTTTGTTTTCTTAAGCTTTCGCTGTACTAACCATCAGCTAAATAAGCACAGAAAATGTTACAAACATAGAGCCTGAGGATTTTTAAACAAGACAGGTCACGGGCCCTGACATCTGCAGGTTTAAGCTCCTGACTCGCTTTCCTGAGGACCACGTTTAAATTCCCCTTACCTGTCATCTACAGTGCTGGTTACACTGAATTGTTGTCATTGCTTTATAAACCAGCATCCCCTTTCTATCATTAGACTACGTGCATTTTTGAGCTAGAATCATCCACTGCTAAGTATTTGGAAAGCACTAATATAACCCATGTAACAAAGCAAAAATCTTAACATTCACAATATTCAAGGGTCTCTTAAAACAGTGGTCCTATTACGTGGTTCTGCAACAGGTTGTAAATCTATAGACTGTCTCCACAAACCAACCTCTCATTATCTATGCATTTTAATGTGGATCAATTGCAGGATCAGACTCAAACAAATGAACCTTTCAATCAAAATGCATTCATTAATAGCATAGTGATTTGCTTTTTATTTAATTTGATATTAAATTTTTAATGTCACAGAGTTGATCTGTCATTCAGATAAATAAATGTAGGGCCAAATCCTTCTTTGGTCCAGTATCACTGAGTTTGTTTGTACTGATTTTGAAAGCCTTTGGTTTCAGAATGAATTTCACTCACACTTTGCAGAAGTCTGTTTTAAAGGGTAATTATTACAACACGAAAAAAAAAAAACAAGCAAAAACCAAACTCCAAAATAGTAACTGTAAATAACGTTTAATCAATGCTCAGTTAAATCTTCTGACATAACAGAAGTGAGAAATGTCAGAAGATTTATCCCTGAGCACTTGCAGTTCATCCACGGAGGACAGGCATATTCTCAGTCTCAGTAAGTTCAGCATGGATTTGGTCTAACTTGCTACCACACTGGAATGCAAGAACAATATCAAGCTAAATAAGTCTCATTCATTAAGAGCCTTTAAAAATGCACAAGCTGCCCTCTGAGATCTTAAATACATTTGCCAGAGAAATGTGTGTACAATACCTTTCAGAACCATGATCCAGAGCATTCATGTCAGCAGAAGAAATTCTGAACTCACTGATTCGGATTCTCTCTTCGTAACCAACTTCAATTGAATAGTAGACATACACTTTACCATTAAATTTGAACTTAGGATGGAAGACAATACCTAGAAAACCTCTCTCGTCTCCTTCCCAAGGTGAGGTAAGTACGGCTTCACTGATGTTCAGAAATGGCTTTTCGAGCCTGGATCGATCAGGGAGGTAGGTCCACACCAGGCCAACCTGCTCCGCAATGAAGAACCTGTGGGTGCCATCGTTGGCGTGCACCATCGCAACAGGATTGCGCAGCCCGTTGGCGACCTCCACGAGGCAGAGCTGGAGACAGCCCTCTGCGTCGGCAGTCACTAACCCCAGGTTTTGGTTCAGGTTCTGGTTAGCCAGCAGGTGTGGAAAGCAGTAGTCTGTGTCCTCCAAGGACAGGTAGCGGCAGAATTTTGCCATGTTGTTCTCCAGTGCGATTAACTCTTGGTCTGCAGAGAGAGAGCGAAAAATGGAGCGGCATTTTTGCCACACTTGCAGGCAATAGTCTTGGCAAAGTCCTGGTATCGTCCGCACCGGGGTGGAAGGATCCTCGGCGTCGTACAAGTGAGCTGCGTATGGAGAGCATTCCTAGAGGGAGAGAGAAAAAGCCTCAAGCCATTTCTTGAACCAGACTTGAAACAGCTGAGCAGCAATACTAATTGGAGAAATTTCACCTTAATTACAATATATGTTGTAGTTTATTCTGAAGATGCATTAACAGAAGAAAAAATGTTAGAAAGGGGGTTTATCTCAGCATTCATGGAAATTATCTTCAATATTCCTGATGAAAGCTGGCTGCCTCATGCTGTTACTCATTTATTCCAACCATTAGCACTAACTCAGGAAAACCAGCGATGACATATATCTTGCTACATCACCCTAGCAGGCTGTACTGGGGAAAAAGAGACTTTTTCTATCTTGGATGCTCTGACTTTATCTATGAAATAATGAGAAGATTCACCACAGCAGGGCAGTGAAACCAAGGAGTTAGCTAAGAAGATTCAGGTCTTGCATCTCCAGGCTGAGGAGGGAACGGGAAACGTCAGCAGCGCAAAAGCCCGTGACTTCCATACATCATCACCTGACAATCCAGACATGCATCTCAAACACAGAAATGATCTACAAGTGGGAAGGAGCGGGATGAGAAAGCGCAGGACGAGAGGAGAAGGACACCCACCCTTTGTCACGTGCCGTGCACCCAGCCCTGGCACGCCGTCACTGCATACACCAGTCTTACTCGGCTCCGGCTGCCTTTGCTGGTGGATATTTGCCTACAGACACTTTATACACCTGATTGGAAGTGGTGAAATGAATCTCATGACCATGACACTGGTCACCAAGTTCTGCCAGGGATGCTCAGGCTACAGGATTTCCGACAGTGAGCATCAAATGGCCATAATCCAGGCAAGATCCACCAGCAGCAGCTGCGGCTCAACCCTTGCTTATGGAAGGTGCAGCCTTGGAAATCTACCCAAGGACTGAATCAAGTTCACATAGTTCATTGTATTCTCTAGTACGAGAACTCCTACAGGCACATTTTCCTTATGTAAAAAGCCACTGCAATACAGTAAAACCATCTGTAAATTACAGACTGACCAAAGTGACTCAGTTCTGCTTTGCAAGGGCTTTTCCTTGTAATAAACACACAATATTTTCCAGTTGCAATGCATCTTCCCGACAGGCATCTCAAAAGTACTCTGCAAATAACGTTATATGACTCAGTGGAGGCTCAGTTATTTTCATGAGGCAGATAAATAACTGAGGAAAGAAAGGCAGGAAGAGAAACTATCCTTCTTGAATAAATTCTGCATTTTTTAATTCCTAGATGGCATTTCTTTCAAGCAAAACCAGCTTAGTTAAAAAAAAAAATATAGGAAGCTGCTTCTAAATCTATAGGGAGCTATTTCTTAATGCAGATTACAGCACTATTCAATAGCTGAAAAGATATAACATCCAAGATACTGAAGTATTTAAATTAGCTGATAAGTATAGACAATATTTAATTTTTATTTTATTTTCCATTACATATCATAACAAACTGAGAGGCCATAAAACAGATCATTAGTGCACAATGAGCTTTCCTCCTGGAATGTCAAGCCATTCATTGCAAAATGAAGGTTATTATGCCTTCAAATGAGCAGCAATTAATGTGGTAAAAAGAGATCGCACATGACACAAAACACCGAAATTACAGGGGCAGATTGGGTAACGGCACTGGGCTCCCTTACACGAGGTGTGCCAGGGACAGAAAGAGCCGGAGCATTTGCCAATGCAGTTGTTACAACTGAAAATTTGGCCTTAGAAAACAAATCAAAACGAGACAGAAAGGGAACATGAAGGCAGGGCTGGACGGGAGCTCAGTCTGTGGCTGCCTACGGAGGTTTCACATCCAGAGAGAGAAGGTCCATCGCTTGAGTACCGGCTGTACTTGGTTCTCAGAAAGCCTCTTTCAAAGCAAGCAGTGACCTTATGCATTATAAAGCAACGTCCTGGCTTTAGCATCGGAATCAGAAACAGCACAGAGCTGTTTCCCTGTCCCTTTGCTGCTGCGGGCTGTTCACCCCCACCTCGAGTGTGTTCCAATAGCATCTGTGGATTATTTCCTTGCTCCTTACCACGTTCCCGGTGCCATACGGCTATTTACAGTGGCATTCCACTGGCAGTGATGTTCAGAGATCTATCACTGGCCAGAGAGCACCCAAGCATGTGCCTAGGGTATCTTCCCGCATATGCAGAATATTTTCCAACTTTTATTCCACAAGAGATGAAGCCTTATGCCTGATCCTGAATTTGTCTGCTTCTGAAGCAAATGTTGTGGTCCTTCACCCTTCACATCATCTTGTCACTTCACTAACTCAAAACACCATGAGGCTCTACTCTTGATCACAGCCCAGCATCACTAATAGATCTAAATTCTCATTTCCAAATGACATGGTCTGTTCATTCATTTTAGCCTACGATGTGGTCCCAAAGCCAAGGAAACTAATGGGCAGATGATCGGTAACTTCAGTAGGGCTGGAACAAGCTCACATTATGAAAGTAACTCACCAGAAAATAAAACAAGCGTCATTAAGCCAAGTTAGCCAAATCCACCCTGTCTATTCCAGGAATTCACAGGCAGCTATTTATCTGAGGAATTGCAACAGTCTGAATTTGGACGAACACCCACATCAAACAATGGCTTATTTACTGCTGCTATTGGCCCGGAGGAAGCAACGGGACTCCTCAGGAAAAGCGTCTAACTTTCACGTAATCCGTGACCTTCCCTGTCCACCTCCGTCTGGAAACTCAAGTCTTTAAGTAAGCTGTCCCCAAAGAAGTGGAATGAGGCATCTGCTCTCCCTCAGTTTCATGTCCTTCATCCCACCACACAATAATCCACATCCACATGTGTCCCCTGAGACTGCTGGGTGTTGAGGCCGTGGGGCAGGCAGGGGGATGTCCCATTGCAGCCCTCCTCTGCCCCGCCACCAAAAGCATCCTCCTGGCCTGCTTCTGGGTGGGGGAAAACCCTATTTTGGGGCTGGGAGATCATGGGCAGCACAGAGGGAAGGATGTTGCTGCTTTTCTATTTGCCCTTCCACAAGGAACAGAAACAGCACCACGAAGGAAATTACAATTTAAGAGAAGGTAGGAACCCTCACAACAAGTACAAGCTGAGACACTTGTCAAAATAATTTGATCACATTTGAGAGGAATCACTAACTGTGAGCAGAAAGAGACAGAAGTGTGCTGAATAAGTCACGGAAACCCACTTATTAATTCAAGTCTAGGATATAAATTGTATATATAATGAATGAATGGAAGCAGAGCGTTCTGGAGTGTTCACAACGTCTGAATTTCCATTTCATGCTTGCGTGGCCAGAGGTGCTGGTTTGTAGCCGCATCTGGGCTGGTGATGTACTGAGCTCATCAGAACATTTCAGTGAATCATTTTTCCCACATTGAAATATTTCACTTCTTCTGAAAAAATTTTGAACGGTCGGGTTTCTGATGCATGCAGGAGACTTACGTTATCGCTTCCAGAGGCAGAAGGAGAGCTTAGCAGGCACTGGTAACTGGTTTCCTATCTGCAAATGGACTTTTGGACACCACTTTTTTCAGGAATATATTCAAAGGTTTTTGACTTCCAGTACAATGTGAGATGAAATAAAAATCAAATCTCTAGAAGCTGTTGTGGAAAAGGGTTGTCTTTCTTTTCACGCTTTCAGGAACACAAGCGGTACCCTGCAAAATGCTAAAAGCAGGATTGCTGAAAAGCCACTTTGATCCCATCTGAGCACAGCAGATGAGACTCCACTGTCTGAATTAATTTAAGATTTACACTTGCACAGCACCGAGCTGCCACTGCTCTGTCTCAGGGGCATTTCCATACATACGAGGCCACCGCTGATGACAGGGTCAGACGCTTCATTCTGCGCAGACTGTGATCATCCTGTTATTGTATCTGGCCACAGAACATCAGCCCTGAGTGGAAATTTCCCCCATGCAGGATGGCCACCACTGAGGTTTCTAGGCCACATCCTCAGGCATTACTCTGCACCCATCATCAGGACTGTTAGCACCTGGCACATGCTAAAAGCATCTCAGGATGCCATAACCCAGCACAGAAAAAAAACATCTGATCCCATGACTTGGGCATAAACACCTAATCCCATGCATTGGGCGTGACAAAGAACATGTTTTGTGCAGACAGGTCCCCTCCTCCGTGTCTTCACCAGGTCCAGTGATCTAACCCTGGAAGGGGAGTCTGCAAATTTTAACTGCCCTCATACCCATCTCAGAGCACTGCTGCTCACAAATTAGAGTAAAATCCGTATTCCTCTTTCAGACAGCTGCCAAAGGATGAAAAGTTCACTGGGACACCTGCTGATGGACACTCACTCTTGACAGTGCCTTGGAGCCCATGCCTAGGCTGCTGCAGCAGTCCATGATCCACCCATATGTGGGCCAATGCACCCATGTCTGGGCCCAGGCACTAAAACGACAGCTGATGCACCTGTGGGGTGGTCCATGTACCCCTGTCTGGGCCTGGGAACTAACGCCACGGCTCACACCCCCCCGGGTTGTCCGAAGCCCCTATGCCTGCTCTGATGCAGCCCTGCACAGGTGGATGCAAGTCATTCCTGGGCTGATGTGCCCATGTCATGGCTCATGCACTCCTCTGAGGTCCAAAGTACCTGTGCCTGGACCAGCCCACCCTCCACGG